TTACGATTCAATTATGACTTTGTTTTGGTCATCCAAACCATTGCTTATCTTTGAGTGGAATATCTCCAGAACGGATTTGCTTGTAGTAATTCTGGCAGCAGCTTTCTAAATAAAGTAAAATACGTTGAAAATGTTCTGCTGCAAACAAAATTAGCCTCAATTGACCAAAAGTGATGTCTTTCAAATCATAAAAGGAAAAAATCATAACATTGTCAAAAATCCATAATAGATAGCGTACGCTATTTGTGAAAACCGCAATTTCTTTCTTGCCAACTCTATATTTTTTGGCATTGGATTCTTTAAATTATAGCACTACTATTTTGTTGTGTCCCGGGATGGAATATGAACACTGTGAAATAATTTGTAGTCTTGTTGAAGTGAAATTCTAGTGATTGGGTGGTAACAGAAATAATACCTCACTCAATAAGTTCATAGGATGACTAAAACAACAACTTTTGGGCATTATTCGACTTTATTCATCAAGATAGTCTCATTCAAAAGTGATACATTAATTCTAATGCATCTCTAACATTTAGATACCTTTCTTGTAGAATGATTTATCTTTAGCCTCAAAATATGCTTCAGTTTCTGCAATCACTTCTTCATTGGTGCCAAATCTCTTCCTCTTGAGCATTCTTTTTAAGTCGGCTGGGAACCAAATCTGGAGAATACTGCTTTGGACGGCTTTCACCCTTTGCTGTCCACTCAGTTGACGACCTATTTGAAAATACGCTGCCTTGTGATATCTTCAGGGTGTCAACTATCTCACGCAACTTCAATTTGCGATCTGCCAAAACCATTTTGTGAACTTTTTTTATGTTTTCTGCAACAATTGCCGAATTTGTGCCACTAGATCGTTTAACATCATTTGTGTCTGTACGACCGCGTTTGAAAGCAGCAAACCATAACACTTATCAAACCATTGCTTTTCTTGGACGGTATTTTTCACATCAAAAGCAATGTTTTATTTACTTACGAAATTCAGATTTTTCTATTATTTTGAAAATTACCAAAATAGCGTCACTAAAACTTCTGTAACTTGTGAACTAAACTTCAAATTTTATGAAATTTTGACAGACATCGTCTGTAGGTTATGGATTTGTCGATAGAGGCGCCATCTACAAGTCATCCTACGAACTTATTGAGTGAGGTGTTATTATTGGGTCCCATCGTAAAAATTCATGAAAACTTTGATGAAGAGGATTGTATAACAAAGACATAGAAAATGAAAGAAGGTACTGCTGACAAATGTTAAAAAGCAAAGATTTAGAAAGAATATTAAAATGTTATTAAAAACGTTTTATTTTTTATTAAAAATAATCCTGGTTTAGGTAGAAGTGTTAAGCAATTAGTGTTAAATTCCTTTTGTAAATTGTTAAATGAAAGAGAAAACAACCACAAGCAATCAAGTTTAGACTTATATTTTATAGTGATTTAACTTTGTGTGCAAGTTTGTTTAAGAAAACTTTTCTTTCTTCGATAAAATGCTTTTTATTAGGCTCTACTTTTATTATCTGAAACCGAAGTTTCACTTGACGAAGTAATTTAGTGCGACGCATACTGTTTGTTAAACGTAAAGGTATTACTGTAAATAAAGAAACGTGCACCTTTCTTACCAGAAGTGTTTTGATATGAGCAAATTTAGTGATACAATTCTTCTTCATTGTACGATCAGCAACTGGCGAAAACAAATATTGATCTTTTAAAACAATAAACGATATTGAGGAAGATAAACACAACTTGGAATCGACATGGCCAATTTTATAAAGTGCATGTTCGTGGAGCTTTCTTCTTCGCAAAGCACCATGTTGAAGGAGACAATAGAAACTACAATGTAACTAAAATAAAAGAAGAACTTATCTTAATGGATTTTATTATATAATAGAAAAATTACGCGGAAACATCAATAGTCTTTGTAAATGTAAATTTGTATTTATTTAATTGAATCATAATTATATAAATAGGTTTGAATTGGTCTACTGTTGACTGTTTCAATAAATATTATTATTTTTAAAAAATATCAAAGAACGCTATTGAAACTAATTTAAACAAAATATAAACGAAATGTTTGAATATTTAATTATCTAAGTTTAAGTGAAGTTTGTGATGATTTTTTTTTGGTTATTTCTTGAACTTATAAAGCTGATTTATTTACATTGGTGAGTAAATATGTTCATTTACTTTTCTCTATTTATTAGCGTAAATCAACTTTTAAGTTAATTTAGTTTACTAACCTCAGTTAATAGTTCCATAATACCAGCCTTCTTACAAATATTACTAACTCACTTACACTAACTTTGTACAATCAACCCTAACAACGGAATTAATTGGTACCATGCAATATGGAAATACGTTATAGGAAATTTAGAAATCGTAAAAATTAGATTATACCTTTATATGTAAGTCGCATTATAAAAAAAATCAAAATAAACGCAAATCAGATTATTTCGTACCGTGTTTAACAAAAACCTAATTCTATTTTTTTACCCAAATGTAATACCCATTTCATCATCAATCATATTATCATCCCATTCTTAATAATGCATTTACAGTACATATATCAATAAATGATATCATACTTGTAAAAAAATTAAATTTGGTAAATCGCAATATAATTTAAAAAAATAGTGAATTGCACCTTACTTTATCCAATTTCGGCAACTTCTTTCCAAAATTATGTATATCATTGAAAATATCAGATAACACTAATTATAAACTATAATTTAGTGTACGTTACATTTTTTTATTTTGCTATTTTAAGACAAGAACTATCTGACTTGCAGTAATATAATTTATTGATAACCTATTTTGGTTTTACGTTAGTGGTCTAACTTAGACACCGGTCTAAATTTGGGGACTATCTTCTAAATCAGGCACATAACTAAGGTGAAATCATCATTATGTCTCGGAGTCAGGAGTGAATTTAATGATTAAATCAAGTAAGTTGACAAGTGTTCACTTCTTATGTATATAATTTAAAGTTATCAGATTCAGTTCAATACTCTACAACCAACTATTTCTTTTGGTTTAGTAATAAAAATAAATGAAATTTGCAAATCTTATATAATGTTGTGCCATCACGTTTTTTTTATTATTTGCATTATATTTCAACTATTGATTGTAACTATTTTCAAAGAGTTTGCATACGTGTGCATTTATAGAATAGATATTTATATAAAATTAATTATGTAAACAGTTGGTATGCAAATTGAGTGCGCACTATATGCGAGGCTAAATTCATGAAAATATAAAAAAAAGGAAATGGAGGGAAAGAGGCAAAATGTTGTGAAAAATATGCAAAGTTCCGGAATGGAATCACATTATTCGAGCTAAATGCAAATAGCCTTTTAAAATTAAATTATTTTAGAGCCGAGTGCCTGCAAGAGTTTCGATATACAGACTCTCTACTGGGTCTAGTAAAGACGTGCCTGAAAACCGTTAATGAATCTCGTCTTTGTAACCGCGAAACAACAGATCAAACGCAGCAGAAATTCGGCAGGCTTTGAACGCACCGCAGCCTATTTGATTAAGCTTCATCGTGCCGTTTTAAATAGTATTTTCTAGGTAAAAGGGAATAATTCATGAAGGGCTTCAGCTTAGGTAGAGTTTGCACTGCATTACAATAGGATTAACACTGTGTCTCCTCTCCACTTTCCATAACACGTCTTGTTGCGAAGTAGATATTGAAACAAATGAAGGCTGATTGGGTTGATGGAATTGTAAATAAAAAGGCGGGACACGTTCAACAAACAATTTGTATATTTTACAATAGATTACATCCTGCTCCTTCTTGTAGGTCCTTCTTTCCCATTCTTAACTTTAACATTATTTAATTTACATCTCTCAATTTTACGTAATACAATCTTTCACGCTCTGCATCCCTCCTCAAGTACTCCTCTCGCATTCCATCCGCTTATTACAAAATAGGCCTACGTAAGATTGTCTCTTTTGTTTTCTTTCATACCCAACAAAAAGTTGGATCCTCTCGCTCGAATACTTTATTCATATACAATTTTATATCTACGTAATCCCTAATCTGTTTATTTCAGCCTCTATTTTGTTACACAGAAAATGAATACAAAAACTTGAACTATTTACAAATTGCCAATTAAAAAAGATAAAGAGATAGAGAGAGAAATAAAATTTAGTAATCACTTGAGCACACATCGGAAGGAAGACGAAAATAAAATCGAAACGTAAAAAATTGTATAAATAATATCTTTGCGTACCAAATACATCGATTATTCCTCGTTCGTCCTTGAGCTAGCAAGTAAAAAACCAATAATAGTTTCCAGTGAGTTGATGGTAGTAGCAGGGCCGTAATAAGGTTGTCTTGGGCACTAGGCACCAGTTAAGTAGATGATGACGGGGAAAGGGTGTCGGTGTCTGATCAACTTAACAAGAATAGGATATATTCTTGAATTCAAAATCGTGGGTCCCACAAAATCGCGTGAGGCCCACACAATTTCGTAAGCCCTAGACACTGTACCTAATAGATAAGATGGCCCTGATTAATAGTTTATTTTTACATTAGTATTTATTACATTTAAATGCGTCGAAAAAAGTTTCTTCCTAAAATAAAAGTTATATATTGCGAGTTCGCCCTCATTTCTATTATATATATTCACATTGTTTTTTTTTATTTGTTAATAATATATTCATTTCCTTAATATATGCTAATTAAAGCCCCATTTAGGTATATACAAAATAAAATTTTTCTATACAAAATACAAATATCACAGAAACTCAGTGATGGTATCAACTCTGTCCTTCCACGTGGATGTCTTTTTATTGAATTTTTTATATATTTATAATACTAGACTTAAGTTTTTTCATATATATATCCTAGGTCTCTCATTCTCTTTACAATTATTCATATTCTATGTGCAATAACAATAATAACGAATAAAAATCAAGAATGCTATAAAAAGAAAATATGCGATTTAAATTATTTTTTATAATTCAAGTCTCAAGAATTATTGCTTTCATATAGTTGTTGTTGTTATTTTTATATTATTTTTCTTTACTTTTTATTTGGAATAGTTTAAAATTATGTAAACGGTCGTTGTAACATCGGGTTTTCCTGGTGCGCAGTTGGTCGCTTCTCGGTGTTCCTCTGCTGCGAAATATTTATAACGTACAGTGGTATTGCTTTCTTGTTTAGTTGGTGGTCTGTGGTGGCTCAGAGACCCTCGTCGCCGTATCTGCGCCTCATGGGTATTTGGGGGTAGTCCGCGTCGTTTTGCTAGAGAAACCTTGCTGGGTTCTTCCAGCAGCTGAAGCAGCAGGGCAGGGCGCACAGCAGCGTGTCCTTGAAAGCCTCCCTGAAGTCGCGGTTGAAGTACGCGTAGATCAATGGGTTGATGGCCGAGTTGAAGTAGCCGATCCAGAAGAGCATTCCTACAACTGGTTCCGGGGTCGGGCATTTCTCCTCTCCGCAGACCGTTGATATCACGTACCTATGAACAAAGTAAACATGGTTAGAAATTATGAGAATGGGAAGAAAGTTTGAGTTTGTTTTGAAAATTAATTGCACTTCGTTCTTATTAGTTCAGGTTTAGAAATACAATCTACAACAGTCAGTTATTGCGATCCTATGACACGCATGTACGTGGTGACACGGGAAGGTATATAAAAAAATATTTTAAGTTTGTAACTATAATAAAAAAATCTACAGATATTAAATATTTTTGTATAATAAATATTTCTCGTATTTGTGTAAATGATTTCTAAAGATTTGGTATATATGAAACCAATTTTAAATGAAATAAATACAGTCAAATATTTGCCTCGATTCCCGAATATAAATCAAAATCAATTAAACAAAACTTCGGGTTCTGAACAATAAACAGGTACATGAAATGTACGGTGGGAGAACTTAAAACTTCCACTTAACACCTCACTCAATAAGTTCATATAGATGGCACCTCTATCGACAAATACCAACCTTCAGACGACACCTGTCAAAATGTCATGGCAATCTGACGTTTAGTCCACAAGTTACAGTGGTTTTAGTGATGTTACTTTTGTAATTTTCATTGTGTTACATCGTGAATACTCCTCAGTGCACATCGATAGAAATTAATGTTTCTTCTCTAAAAAACTATTATATAAACTTTATATTTTAATGTGTTGTTTTTTCAAAATTTACACAATTTTTTCACTTAAATATCTTGTACTGGTTAAGAATGTCGAAATTTGCATGATTTGAATCAATATTTTCAATCCATATCAAACGCAATGAAATGGTCAATTCATAACTCGTAATGAGAAATGTTATCTACAATAATATCAATCAAAAATGATCATGATCCAAGAGTGATGATCATGCTAACAGTTTGTTGAGATTAGATTCCCCATATAGATCTTTGAATGGTAAAACTTTCAGTCATTTGATGACTTTATATCGCACTTGGTTTACTTTCATGTTGATAAGGACTAGCAGTTTGAAAACATAAATATGACAAAAGCTCATCGAATAAAATAGATAATACATAATTGATTAAATTTCATTTTAAGTATACAAAAAAAGAGTTCTATTTCACATTAAAATATATAATATTATATAAATATGATTTACATTTTTTCCATAGCATAATCTTCCTAGAAACTATTCAAGAATAACATCATTTGCGAATAAATTTTACTTTTTATCCGTTGAGAGATATAAATCCACAATTTGCATATAATATATATAAGAAAAAACATGCGAAAAGTTTGAAAATAATTAGAATCAATTACTGCTTGTTAAAAAAAAACTGATTACAAGCAAAAATATAAATATAATATAGTATTGTGCGAGTTCGATCAGTGCGGCTTAACTATAGTACGGCTGATAAAAAATGTAAAATGTGAATACACACAATTATTTTGCATATATAAATGATCGTTTTTTGGAACTCTATACAGATAAGTCTCTTTATGTGTTATTTGAAACAATTCAGGACATTGGTAGAACAGATTACCCGGACTATGCGAGGTATTGTATATTTTGTAACTTTTAAGCAACTTTAGATCGAGATTTCATAAAGGATACATATAATGTGCACATTGTTAAAATTGTATTGCAAGTGGAGAAATTCTTAAATAACAGTTTCATGTAAAATTAGTAATATATACTGTTTCTGACCTGAGACGGAAGTTTGTAATTATATTACTAATTTTAGGGCTTTTAGCATTAATGGCTCGTTTCACATCATTCATATTTTATGAGCGATTAAAGCATTCACTAATCTATATTAATTCATTTGCGCTCATATCAGACTCTCTCTCTCAGGGTCAGAAGTACGGTATAAATCACTTCTGATAAAGCCCTTTCACCAAAATAACATTTGCAAAACTTCATGTGTGCTAGTTTGTGTGTTTGAATACTTAAGATTGCGGAGTGCGAGAGAGGCTTTCAAGAAGTTGCTTTAGTTATTATTCGAAGGGAAACTTGTGGTCTCGCGAGGCATTAGGATCTGTTGCAAACTTCTGCGGAGTCGGAGATGTCATCCGAAATGAATGATCCCCAAATCTAACCCCTACACGTATACACACATCCCTCACACCCTTCCGACGAACTTCAATTATCCCGTATGTTAATGAGTGGGTAGATAGCAAACGTGCATTAACTAAAGTCAATAATTGAAAAGTTTCTTGTTGTTGCTTCTTCTGCAAAGCCACAACCGATGGAGTTAAACTAATGCTCGACGAAGAGATACTCTAGGTTTGCATCTGCGGTGGGGTGAGAGAAGAGTTTCAATTTATACACGCATCCTTTGCTCCGGAAAGTTTTCTAGTCGCGGGCGGATAGCCACAACAGAAATTTGCTACAGCTCATCTCCGGCCGCACTTATTAATTAGCACTCACCGGAAACTTGTTCCCATCCACTACGCACGGTTGATTCGCCGCTAAAGTTTCCTCCAACATCGTAATTCTTCAACACCAATATACGTAGTTGGCGTTTACTTAAAGTACATTCTATAATACGTACATGACCAAACTAACGTACAAAACTCCGTTCTTATGTACAAGTATGTATTTTAATATGCATATTTGATAATCTAATTAACATATATGATTAAAAACTGTTGAAATAGAATGTGAAATATAGAAAAATCACCATACTTTGATCATTAATAAACATCACTTAACAGAAAATGTATCAAAACATACGCAATAGAAGATACATTCTAAGGTAATCATAAAATTACATCATTTTAAATATTTATTTATCAAGATTTATAATTGTAACAGCAATTATACAAATAATGAGTAATAATTTACAAAATTTTGCAATTTTATTTTTAATTAATTCAAAAAATATGCTCAACTTAGAAAAAATACAAAATTTCTATACAAAATAATTATTTAAAATTACATAATAACCCTCCACGTGAATACTGTTAAGAGTGAAATCCCCATATTCAGTGCCCGTTTCCAAAACATACTGGAAAACCACCCCAACAGTCTCGCGTTATCCCTCCTAGACAATAGTGACACCCCCCACAGACTAAAGAGACACAACAATCTCGACCTTTAGAAAATAAAAGTTAATTTTATTGTTTAAAGTTTCATAGTACCGTCAAAATCAATTTTTATTTGGGTTGTTATTGTCATCGCATTATTTCTTTTTAGTTAAATTTATAATTGTTTATTTCCGATGGGAAATCGTTCCGCTCCATGCTTTTATTGTGTTTTTCTGTTTTTATTTTCTTTTTTTTCTGTCTTGGTCAAAAAATATTCAACTTATAGCCAGAGATGTTATAATAAAAGTTAAAAAAAAACATAATAACCGATTTAATACGCCATCATACGCGTCCATCAGATACGCCGGATTTAAATTTCCCTCCTTTTTGTCTATTTAAGTTGGCAAGTCTAATGTTTGATATTTGTCGTCTGCAGTTATTGAGGTTATTAAAAATGTGTCCGTAAATTAAAGAAGAAAGTTTTGTTATTGTTAAAACACATTACAAATTTGCCTAAAGTTTTACGGAGACTGTACGAAAAGATTTATTAAAAACCTTTTTTTTTAACATCAATAGCGATGATGCTCATTTTCATTTGGATGGTTTTGTTAATAATCAGAATTGTTGAATCGTCGAGTTATTTATGAAAAACCTACAAAAAATGCACCTACAAAAAGTCACTGTTTGGTTCGGATATGGACTGGAGGTGTAATTGGACCGTTATTTTTTGAGAATGATCTAACTTTTTGTGGGATCAATTAGAAGACATGGACCTCGAAGAAACAGCAAGAGAAATCATCGTTCTTTTAAGATAACATTTTCCTGGTCGTATGATTTCCAAAAATGATGACCCAGATCACCGCCTCTGTGGTTTTGTAAAGTCTAAGGCCTATGGTAACAAACCACAAACAATTCCTGAACCGAAAACAGAGCTGTCTTGCAAAAAGTCTTCGAAAATTTTATCAAAATGATCAGGGTATTCCAGCATAGCGGTGGCGGCCATTTCGCCGACATCATATTCCATAAGTAATGTCTACTTTATGAATCAATAAAAATATCTCAATTAAATAAATCCGGCGTGTCCGATGGACCACCATTTAATAATGAATAAAAAAAAAGTATTTCAAAGGTTTATTAATTTTTAATATATTTATACAATTTCAACGAGATATTCCAAATAATACTTAAGCATCCTATAGAATTTACAGTTCAATCAGTTATATGATTATATATTTTTTTCAGTAATCTGTTTTAAAGAATAATAAGCTGAATATATTTTTATTATATATTTATATGAAGTTACTGTTATAATAAATATTATTATTGTGTATAACAATGCATGTATTTTTATAGGAATTCGCATAACCCACATTCGTTAATTTTTTATACGTTATCTGTATAAAAATAGTAACAACTATGCTTTTAATATTTGTTTTTGTAATTGAATTAGATTTTTATTATATTGTGTAAACACTTTGTTTTTTTCATTGCAGTTTTGAATCAATGTATACACAATAGAAACTAACAGTGTAAAATACCGAGTTTTAATATTTCCACTATACATTTTTTTGTTACGTTGTTATTGTCGTTTTATTTGTGTGACGTTTAGTAGTAGTGTGTATGTCTCGTTTTGCATACATCGCGTCCACTTGTTTATCGCCGGTCGCGCTGGAGATGGAATTTATTTTAGTTCCAAACGATGCGCATGCATACACGAGAAATTCTCTTCTTTTATTATCGCTCCATTATAGTTCCAGAGTTTATTTTCCCATGGTTACATTTAATTTCAAATTTAAAAAAAACAAACAAGAAAGAATAACGAATGTTATAAGTGACATAGTTCCGTAGTATAAACTATTCACGATTCGTGCAACAACAGGGATATGCCAGTTCGGGGAAATATGAATAATTAAATAATTGGACTAAACGAATTATACAGAATAATAATATTTTTGTTTGCTGGATGTAACGGGTAACTTATTTGATCGAATACAGTCATATCTAGGTTAACGTTACCTTTAAGAACGAAACTTCGATATAACGAAGCCCATTTTTTTCAGTATTTAAGTTTAAAGTCAATGCCCGACAATTATCCGCCAAAATATGACCAGAAGATATATTAGAATAGAGGTCGGCAAACCGCGGCTCTGAATCCAAATTCTATGATATATTGCGGCTCCCAGGGTCGTGTAGTTTAGAAAACCTTGTTAGTAACAACTACAACGAATATGAAAACGAAATTTATGAAGTTTCTTGTGACATAGAAAACGTTCTATTTTTATTAATGAAAATGTTTACTGATTTTCTCAGAAGTGTTATAGTTAACCGATCAGCATTAAATGCAATAAATAAAAAGTACAAACTCATATTTTAATATGTGATTTAAGTTTAGATGTAAGTTGTAAGATGTAACTTTATTTAATAAAATTTGTCATTGGACGAAAACAAAAGCTTTTGATTGTATTTACGAAGGAACGTATCTCCAATCTAGAAACGCATCTCATTCGTTAATAGAGGTATGACTGTATTTCTTTTTTCGCCCTTTTATTCTCTTCCTTTGTTGAAATGATTAAACTGCGATCCAGTCGGAGAATAAGAGAGGAAAAAAGGTTATTCATTGTGCGTGGAATAAAGCGGAGAAAGAATGGAGGGAACCTTTCAATTGCATGCCCTTTCCGGCCATTTCCGTCAGCCACTTACCAGAGGAAAAAAGGTAGCCAGCACAACATGAAAGCACCCATGATGATCCCCAAAGTCCTGGCCGCCTTGTGCTCGGCCCTCCAGCTCTTCGACTGTTGCCTAATCGTCGTACCTGTAACAAAAACGTGCGATGGATTAAAAAAGAAACTCGCGAAGAGAAACAAAATGTGAATTATTCATCGCGATTTATAACCGCCTAACCTCACCCATTCCACAGGCTGAAAGCTTAATGGGCTTTCTTCTCAAACTTCGTTTCGTTTTTGCTTTCTTTCATTCTTTCAGTCTCTTCTCGTCTTTTGCGCTTGTTACATGAAGTTTTCGCAATTTGGAAAAGTTCGCGAGACAAGAGATAAAGCGCAAAATAAAAAGCTGGATTTTCCCTTCACCTCACACGACGTAGAAATTCTTTTTTTTTCGAAGCGAATGAAATATATATATATAAAAAAATGAAAAGAAAATGTGTGCGGCGGGCGTAAAAGAGATGTAAAACTACTTTAATTAAGGTGAAATATGGAGAAAGGCGAAAAACCACAGGTTTTAGTCACAGCGACTGGATTCAAAGGATGTCGTTGCGCCATTTACGAATGTTCGCAACGACATGAAATATGAAATAGGGGAAGAAAATTCTTTTCACGGCAAAATTTATTAATTAATTTATGAATGCGTTGCGTAACAACTAAACGATGTTTATTAAAATATGCCCATAGCCTTGAAATTCAAATTAATATTATGTTAGTTGCCTAATTTGGACCTCTGCTTTGTTCCTTTATGAATACATATTTACATCATAAGAAAATATAAATACAACAATTAAATATTTTAGTGCGGTTTCTCTCAGTCCGGATTAAAATTTAATTGAGCAAAATATAAATTAATAATAAAATTATTTTTGTGTACATAAATTATCGGTTTTCCCCATCATTAACTGTTATGTCTTTTTTAAGTTTATTTTTCTGCAATTTTATAGTCCTGAAACATGCGCAGGTTTCACATTAATTAGTCATTATTTTATATTTTATAAAGTAAAAAATGAAAATTTATTGTGAAATTTGTATATCAATTTAATATCTTAACTTTTGGTATACCGTGGAATTCTAGATACAACTTCGGTGTGCCGTGGGTGAGAATAGGTTGCGGCTGCTTTAATGGTAGACACTAGAGGTTTGGTTATGGCAAATTCGTTAATTTTTTCAGACTTTTTTAAGAAATTTATTTGTAGTCAAGTAAAATGGAACGGCAGAACCTATTATTTGCATTATTGCTATAGTTTAAAATCTGGATTATGAAAATTCTAATAATTTGTTAAAGTTAAGTTTCACTCAAAATACTATACTAAAGCAAACTGGTATTTCAAGATTGACAAGTACCAGTAATTAAAGCGCACCGACGAAAGCGCGGAGTGAAACAACCACGTCGAATGAACGAGAATTTGTATGTAATTTTAAAATATATCCAAACCCAAACTCCCCAAACCTAAACCACTAGAGTGAATGTCATATGTTCATTTGAAATGGTTTGTCATTTGTTACTGCGCGCTTTCATTGTTCGAAAACAAAAGCTTTTCATTTTCACCACCAGAAATATATATAAAAAAATAAATTGAATCAAAGTGAAATAAATAATCAAATAAAATAAATTGAAAATCGTGAAAAGAAAGAGACATCGCTAAAGCTCCCTATTGTAATTATGAAAGTTTCAAGAAATTTCCTGAATCGCTTGGAAAGTGGATATAATTGTAGCTTACAATTCGTAAAATAAGCCACTTTTCGACGAATAGTTTACTATGAATGTTTTATTGCAAAACGACGTAGTTATTATTTTAAAAATACATCTTTGTGATTGCAGTAATTACACAAGCTGCATTTAGTAATAAATAAAAAAATATTTTGCCCTATATTTTTTCTACTCTGTTTATATTAGATTCCGTTCAATGTGAATAATCCGTGAAATAATGTATATCACAATAAGTTAATATTGTGATAAATACTATAATAGAATAATAAGATTTGTTACAAAAAACGTAACATTATATAATTAATTAATTAATTGACAAAAAAAAATGAAAATAATATAAACTTATGAATAATTGCAATTGGTTATCATCATATTTTTGACTGTATGATGACTAATTTGTTTAGTCTTATTTTCTATTTTATATTATAATTAAAGTAATAAAATATGATATAAACAATCATACATAGTCAGAAAATAATACGAGTACCTCCTCGCATAACTATTCGCATTTGAGGAGACGAGAAGTCCCGGATTGTGCGCCTGCTACTTCATTTTGCAAACTTGTATTCTGACATATTATGTGTGATTGCTTTTTATTTGCAAAGTTTAAAAACCTTTGAATAAAATATCAGAAAAAAAAACTGCAAGAAAAAGCTATAAGAGAATAGAAAAAAGAGATTTAAGAAGAATTAGGTAAGTATCATAAATAATTATTTCAATTTTGCCGAAATTTTGCAAAATGAACCAACTTGTGATAAAATAAAAGATGAAGGATGATCCACGCTCTTTGACAATGTGTATATAATTTTGTTTGAAAAACCTTATATATAATTTTTCTTAAATATTTTTTCTGAATGGAACGCATTATTGTATTTTACATTAATAAAAGTCTTTGAATGGATTATGCTCGTTACGCAAGGTTCCACAGTATTTATTTTTGTCTAACATGACTGTTATAAAATATTTATAACTTTAGAGTCTTTAATTTTTTGTTGTAGCAAATTATAAAGAATTTTAAGAAATGAATACATACTTAGCGCAAACATGATTAGAAAAATCAACTGTTTTTAGGAACGGAGTGCAGTATGTAATAATCTGTGATAAACTGTGTAAACGACAGAGTGTCAACGATCATCCATGCAGATCCATGTGTTGACGTGTTACCTATTAGGCATCTCCAGAATACAGCTAAGTCTAACAATGAAACTTGATTTGAATATATTTCCATACAAAATACAATTGACCCAAAAATTGTTAGCACGAGATAACAACGCCTTAGAATTTCCAATAAATTGGGTGAACGAAATATTAACAAATCAGATTTTGCTTGACTTCTCAGTCCTCACAACTTAACGGCTCTTATTTTTTTATAGGGCCACTTAAAGGGACAGTTTATCAGATTAAACCACAAACAATAAACCAGCTTAAGAAAAGAAATATCACATTTGGAGCCATTACTTGTCAACAAGAAACTGGAGGTCATTTAAAGGATATTTTTTTCCACACTTAAATGAGAAAAATTCTAACTAACTATACCTTCATCTACAAAAAAAAATTTAATGAAATTTTTCAATTACAAAAGTTATATTTATTTTACATGAGATAGTCGAAGTTAGCCCACAAGTATATTATCAAAAACAATAATCGATAAAACATTATTTTCTATGGAATCAAATATTTTAAAACCTTATTCATTATGATTTAAGTAACAAATGGTGGTTGTCTTTATAATACTAAATTCAGCTGTAAAGATTAGTGTTGCTGTAAATACGTAGGCTTTAAAACTTATTGTGTATGCATATTTTCATTTTTTATAAAAATAAAATTAAATGCTTATTATCTCATAGATTTTTACTTCAAAACTTGTTCACAAATAAATCAGAGATTTCGGTAAAAGTTGTCATATTTATATATAAATAAATGTAATATTTGGCAAAAATTAATAATTAAAGATGAATCTTGTATTGAAATAAATTTTATTAGTATATGTATTTTTTTAAAGGCGTGAAATTTTTTATTTACAGTCTGTTCATCAATGTGAACATTAAGTAAATTTAAGATTGCGGTTGACATTAGGTAGGTAATCTTTCCCGGTGGATAGTTTACCATTATGATGCTTAGATTTTTAATTTGTTGGTTGGCTGTCGTCTTGTAGGATAACTTCAGTAGTATATTGATGCTCTGCGATTCCACTATTTCCTTTCACTGTGAATCTGCTGCTATCCTTAACACTGCTATTGTCCATCGTCTTGGCTGAAGGTCCATATGTTGAACCTCATTCATTTCACTGTCCATCTGTGATGAACGATGGCCCTATTGCTGCAAGCATCACAAAGGGCCTGGCTTGTTCAGGATTCGAACTGGAAACGTTCGATCGTGGGTAGGGCGACTTAACCATTCGGCTATTAGTCGCCCTATTAGTAAATTTACATTAGAAAATCGACGAATCTAATTTGAACAACAATAAATAATATGAATTTTGTTATCATTTCACTTTTATTTTACGAATATTAATCGTTGAGGTTTTGAATAAAATATGGTTCTAGGAAGATGATATATGAACAATATTTACTCATTAGATAAATGCATTGTTTGTTTAAAATCATTTTGTAGCCAAGAGACAACAAAATGATGTCTAGATACGAAATTATGATTGATTGTAAGAAAACAAAATACAGTAGAACCTCGCATAATGAGCACCTCGCATAACGAGCAAAATGAATTGTAAGAAAAATGACTCGCTTCGTTAAGCATGACGATGAGAAAAGAAGTCCCGCCTTCTATATTATTTTTAAAACTTGTGTACACATATTATGTGTATTTTTGAATACATTAACCATCTTCGATTTTCTTTGTCATATTTGTTTAAAGCGGTCTATACTTTGCAAATATAATTTGTGTTTGTTGTAAATGCAAAACACAAATATAGTGTGTCCAACCATTATTATAATATATAAACACACTATGTACTCTTTTTTATATAAACAAATATTAAAAGTGTTAAGAGACTTCCACCAAGTCCCCGAATTGATAAAAGTTATATAAATTAATATAAACTCACTTCACTGGGAGTAAATTGGTAAATTGTTCCTAGTGTTAGTGGTCATTCTTTCTTCTTAACGGAGAGCACCCCTGCTATGTAGATTGAATGTTGTCTCGCCGTGTTTTCTGGAAATGCAGGATCATATTTCTGGGACCAGGCTCTGAGCTCTTCCATTTTTCCTGCCACTTTTCCAGCAGTCTGGTCCTGGCAGTTTCTTTGCCCACTCCTCTCTGCCTCTCGCACCTCCCTCTGGCTAGGAGTTCGTTTGGTGGCATGCCAGCAATTATTTGAACTTCATCTCGGAAGATTGTTCTGTTAGCGCTGCAGACCCTTAT